GCTCGATTTACATTATCACTGGTGCTCGCTCCAAACGGAAGGTTCTGTAGGCAGGCGAACGACGCTGGTCTTGCTAGTGCATGGAGGTAGTCAGGGGGGTGAGGGAATAGCGAGTGCGGGAGGAAGCTGCACGCTCACAATATTATTTGTCCGGTAGAAGAGTCGAAAAATGCTTCAGTCCGAATAGTTTCTACCGCTGACGGAGTTGAAGTATTTGATACTTCCAACCTCTGTTGTCTCCAGCTCACATTATCTGACACCTTCCGCTCACTCTCCCCTCGAAAAATGCTCCTTCAATTCTATACAATTTCTACCTAGGCATACACAAATAGTCGGGCCATCCATAGCTGCTGGTCCCAATCAACGTGATTAGTGCGACCCCACAAGCGCTCGGTCGCCTAGATCACGCGTTGACCTTTGACCAACCGTCATGACCAGTCAAGCTAGTCAAAATCGGTCATGGCTTTGGTCATGACCGCGGTCAAAACAACGCTGCGGCAGAGCACCACCCGCGAAGCTCAGAGCCACAGCTCACCACCCGAATTCACTACCGCTCTCCAACCAACAAGGTGAGTACTGCAATAGATCATATGATACATTCTCTCGAGACTCGCAATTTGCCCAGCCCCAGGTGGCAAACCCTCCCGAGTCTCCCGCCACCATCCCTTTGCGCTCTTGAGCGTCCAAACAAAGCCCCTGCTTTTTTTCTCGCTCTTTCTCATCGACGGTACCTAATCGAAGCAAAATCCACCATCAACGAGGTACTATCGCCATAACAAATCAGCCATTCATATCTAGTTACGCAAGTCACGACGCTCCCTACCGATTGCCCAGTGATGAACGACGCATCGTCAGAAACTAGGAACGACACCAGGTTCGCGACGTCCGCCGGCTGTCCGTTCCTTCCCAGGACGTTCGCACTGTTGAACTATCAGGGGTACGTATAATTAGCTCACAGGCCTAAACACACGGGCATCCGAGCGAAGCCCTCACCGATGCCGTCCACGAGCCTTTCGGCTGCCCGCTCTGCGCAGTGTGGTACTCGTCCAGGTACGCCACTGCGCAGTGCAACGAAGCGCATCAGCATCAGCATCCCAGCGCGTGTCCCAAGATTGCTGGAACTTACTGAGGGGCGTCTCGATCACCCCGGGAGCGTACGCGTTCACCGTGATGCCATACTTGCCATAGTCCATCGCCGCAGATTGGGTCATGCCCCGGATGGCGAATTTCGTCGCAGAATACACGGAGTTCATCGCCATTCCTACGACGTGTGGACGTGAGCATGCGAGGAGCCATCAGTCGATGCGAAGCAGAGCGTTGCGTACCCTTTTTGCTTGCGATCGAGGCGGCGCCGAGGATGCGACCGCCCTTGCCCTGCTTGATGAGCTGGATCGCGGCGTACTTGTAGCAGAAGAACGTCCCTTTGACGTTCACGTTGAGGAGCCTGTCCAGTTCTTCTGTGGAGACTACGGAGTGATTCATCAGGCCTACGGACACCCGCAGACTCACAAGCAGAACTAAACGTACTCTCGTGCAAGACGCGGTTGACTGAAATCCCTGCATTCGCGATCATCTAGTCATCAAGTCAGCGCAAGTATGCGAACGAGCGAGCATATCAGTACCCACCGCATACAGGCTACCGAATTCTTGCACGACGGTCTCGACTAGTCGTTTGACATCGTCCTCCGCGGCAACACTTCCAAAGACGTTAACGACCCGGACGCCGTACTCTTTCCGGATGGCCTCCGCGAGCTGGTCGAGTTTCCCTTGGGCGTTGGGAAGGTCAAATAGCCCGAGGTCATAGCCATCCTTCGCGAGCCTGAGCGCGATGCCGCGCCCGATGCCCTCTGCGGCTCCGGTGATGATTACAACGCGTCTTGTGCTCGACGACATGCTTGTAGTGCGCCTGTGGTTTTGGGATAGGACGGGGGCTCTCTCGAGCTACACCCTCACTTATTTAGGTCCCCATACCCACGGAACCCACACCGTGACCGACAAAAGATCATATGACGTCGTCGACGTCGTATGCTTCTATAAGCTTATGGCGATAGCTATGAAATGAGGAATACTCGAGTCGAGTCAGGCCGGTCGGTGATGTTTGCGATTCGCGTAAAGAACACCGATCGGGGTACAGATGACCCTTTGACGAACTTCTTCAGCGGCAAGGATGCTACAGTGCTTTGCAAAAAAGATTGCAGTGCGAAGCGCGCAAATCCGGTTTGCCCCTGTTTGGTCCCCCGTCGGCTACGGCGAGGATTTCTGTTTCGGGAACCGGGCGCTCACAAGGACTCCGTCCGTCAAAGCCGTGCTTGAATCTGTGCCCGCTTTCCTACTGCCAAAATAAACGACGATGTTCTCTGCCTCCGCAATATAACTTTCTGAATATATTCGGTAGGTTTGTAGCTGAAAATTCGACCATGCTGCAAAGAGGCTCCCGGCATTGCGGGCGTTTCTCCGGGTGAGCAAACAGAGGCAAACAGGATTTTGCGCGCTTCGCACTGCAATCTTTTTTGCAAAGCAGCAGAAGGACCTCGAACCCTGTACGTACAGTACAGGGTGCCATGGGCGCCTGACTAGGACTTCGCAATCGACTTTAGCTGCACCTAGAAGACGAACCAGTCGCAAGCACGATATGCATGGCAAAGCAGCAGAGACAAGTCAGGAATGCACGCGCAAGCGCCCGACCGCAGATAATCGTTTGAATTGCGGCGCCAGCAGCAACCACTCACATGTAAGCCATAGAAGATACCGGAAAGAGGAAACACAGACTACCGCCCGCGAGACCAGTTAAGAAGCGTCGCGGACCAAGCGAGATGCTTCACCATGAAGAGATTGACGCCTATTGCAAGAAGTACCCTGTTTGACCATCAAGACGTGAACGTAAAGACACACACTGTATAGCCTGGGAGATGGTCGATGAAAGAGACAGGTTCGTTGAAGCTGATCTCTCCGGAGGCCGGGATCTTCTCGTCTTGACCTGGAGCATTCCTGAGTTGACCGCAGAACGGAGTCAAGGAAATCGACAACAACATTTTCTTCATAAAGTCAAGTTGGACTATAGCTACTGAGAGGCGGAGGCGGAGGCGGAGGCGGGGTCGCAGAGAATCGTAGCAGACACCGCCATGGACGGGGAAGACAAGCCGGCGGCGGGCCCTGTGCGGCGCTACCGGGGAGGGACAGCCACAAACGCGTGCCGCTAGGCCAAATGTGGGCGGCCTGACGCGCTCATAACAAGAGCCGAGCTGTAGCAACTGTCCCCGCAACTCGTCCTCTGCTTTCCTCGTCGTCCTTGCTCTCGTTCGTTCCCTCATAGACCATCCTAGCATACCCTCTACTCACCCCAGCAATCTACCCATAATGCCCTTCACGCCAGACCACGACCTCGACCTCCTCTTCCCCACCGAACACATCCCCGCCGACGTCAGGAAGCAGCTGCCCCCAGAGCTCCACGTACGTCCCCACTCATTCTCTCTCCAGCATGTGCTCACAACGCCCACCCCTCTGCACGCAGATCCGCCCCCTCGCCTCGTCCGACTACGCCCGCGGCCACCTCGCCATCCTCTCCGTCCTCACCGTCGTCACAGACCCCGGCGAGGCCGCCTGGCGCGCCCAGTTCGACGCCCTCCGCGCCGCCCCGCGCACGTACTACCCCATCGTCATCGTCGACCGGACGTCCGACCGCATCGTCGCCGTCGGCACCGTCTTCGTCGAGCGCAAGTTCCTCCGTGGCCTCGGCGCCGTCGGCCACATCGAGGACATCGCCGTCGACAAGGGCCAGCAGGGCAAGAAGCTCGGCCTCCGCGTCATCCAGGCGCTCACCGCCATCAGCGAGAACAGCGGCTGCTACAAGACGATCCTCAACTGCAGCGATAGCAATATACGTAAGTCGCCGTCGCCGTCGTGATCTGCGCCTGTCGCCTCGCCTCGTGCGTGGAAATGGGGGATGGGGCGGTATGTGCTGACTCGCGCTTGCCCGTTTGCAGCTTTCTACGAGAAGTGCGGGTTCCAGAAGAAGGAAAACGAGATGGTGAGTGCCGCTCTGCTTTTCTCGGTATGTGGGAGGGGCGGTCCTGATCGTCGTGCTGCAGGCCAAGTACGCCCCGACAGACCGCGCACATACTCCGCGCTTGTAAATTATTCCACCACGGACTCTCAGACGCTTCCTATCTCCAGGGTTGTCTCCAGGCACCACGGACTGCACATATGTACCCGGTAGTGTATCGTATAATCTCCACCGAAGGAACACGCACATGATCCTAAATACATCCCGTAAGGCCTCTTGCGCGCGGATACCATTTGGACAGTCCCTTCGTCACGGAGATTGTAGGACTTGCATACTCGGCACCCAAATAACCTGCAATGCGTATCAACGGAACCTTCGCAACACCAAGGCTGTGGTCATTGCGTGACTCGATCAGGATGCCACCCGTCTACCTGGCCTCAGTTCGGTGTCTCTGCACTGGATGCTTCGCCCCGTCCCAGGACCCCGAGATCATTTGTTGAAGTGCAAATTGCTCCAGGACGGCACCGTAGGTTGGTTTGACTCCTATTTATCATTGTCCACAGGCGAAGCCCATGTTGGGCACTACAGTACATAGTGTGCTACGCGCACCCCAATGTACATGCAACGTGCCCTCGAACCTGATCACTCAGTACACGAAGGCCCGGCCTCCGCGCTGCGACTCCCGCGTACAAACGTATGGGCGTGCGGATCTCACTTGTATAGTCTGTCCATGTCCATGTACGATCGGAACCGGCTGGGACCTCCGATGTCTCTAGCAGTCGATGGCCCCTCCCCACGATCAGGGTGTCAGACTCCTAGCCGTCAGCCTCGCTGTGAAACCTTCGGCAATTCCCAGAGGACTGCGAATAGACCGATACGGATACTCCAAGTCAGCGAGGTTGGATAGGAGCTATGAATGCAGAGGGGACATACGACGCTGATAGGACCGGCACATCAGACGGCCGACTCGGTTTCTTTCAGTACATGCCCTGTCGAGATGATCTGTGAGAGCTTCGGGTCGCGGGTGGTAAGATCGTGGAGGTCGAAGAAGAAGCGTGAGATGAGGATGGGCGTGAACCTGTGGAAGTCGTGTATGTGAATTCGGACGTATCGCAAATGCAGTTCTTGGGCTTACAAGTCCCCGAGAGAAAAGAGGTTGGTCAAGAAGTCGCCGATGTTCACAAAGTCGCAGATGACCCGCAAGATATTGAATGATGATACAATACTAATCAGCATAGTCTCAGTGTCGTACATTCATGTGTCCCGCACATATTGTATCCACGCGCACCTGACGTGGATAGTGCCGGCTTTCAATATGAAACTTATGAAAGACACCTTGATGTTGAGCTTTCGTGCAACAACGAAAGTGTTCCATGCGCCAGCCAAGTCACTACCAACACGATGCCTTCGGATAAAACTATGCAAAACCTAGCAACCACAGATACTGTCATGGGCAATCTCAACGTCGGCGAGACAATGATCAGATTCAGTGCGGCCTACATCTAAAAGAAACACCATGAGTCGGAATATACACCATGAATCCAACCCACCTACTTGGTATAAGTCCGAAATTGTGATATAAACATTACTTCACCGCACCCTTGGGGGGTAACGACGACAGACCCTAGGGTGTAAAGGTACTGGGAGCAGGTGAGACTCGTGTCATATTTTGTGTTAGGAGTGACCAAGCTCATACCACGCTGGTGACTGCAGGTACCAAAGCAAGCACAACTACGACGGTGGTCTTCGACCGATTACAGCCACTAATGGCATAGACGCGAATCCCGGCGAACGCTGGTCATTCGTCAGACCGTGCACCATGAGTCTCAGGCTGTGACTGGGAGTAACGCACCTGCCCATACGACGTAAAGAGTGACTTCAGATGCTTGTATCATCCTCATCGGAATAGCACAGCTGCAAGGGGCATTCGAACCTTGCAGGAAGCACAGAGCATGGCAGTAACCAACGCCTACCTCTGTGGAAGCATGTTCACGAGTCCGTTAGAGCCCTTTCGATCTGAGCTTCAGGGAGAACTCTTACCAGGGCCGTCTTGAAAGTAGACGAAATTTGAATGCACCCAGTCACGCACAGCAAGATAGTGAGGTAACGGTTTAGAAGAAAAACACATCTCGCCCATGAGACTTGGCGGCTCCAGCCGTTCCAGGCGAAGTTGACTTCGCGGTCAATCGTTATTAGGCATTCATAGATGACGACAACTGACAAGTGGATGTTCAGCACATAAACATAGCTCTCCACGTCGTGTTTACCTATGATAGCAACAGTAGCGTAGTTGGATATCTCTCTGCAAGGTGATGATTATTATCGTCAATAATCTAAGCTCCCGTTGACAGGATGTGCCCTTACATGCTAATGAGATAACTCAGCTCTGCTAACGGCATCTCCTGGTAGCCGGCGTCTACTGTGATGTTTATGGAGGACGAGACTAGTGACGAACGGTGACGAACTACGTGCCAGCCAGGGGAAGGGAAGGATTGAATTGTTGCTGGACGGTAACAAACGTGAGTCTGAGGAATGCGCTATTGCTTGTTCAGTTCTTAAAAGTGAGTGGAGAGATTGACAGTTCCAACGCACTTCATATATCAGGGGGTCGCGAGGGACCTCCAGTTTCGATGACCTGCGCCATAGATGATATCGATGAGCCTCACCCGACATAGCCGCGAGCAACTTCTGGCCGAGGGAAGCGCTATTCGTCACCTAGGTGCGGTGCAGCTACCACTGGCACCCTCGAACCGTGTTGATGATTGCTGTTGCACATAGACGCACCACTGGCAATCCCCTTCGCCGCATTTGTTGTATCCGCGCAGTGCGAACAAAATGATATCAGTTTCATGGAATATCCCCTCTGCAGAGAAGCAGTGTAGAGCGGCGGACTTACCACACAATTAGCCAGTCGCCTCTTCGTGTGCTACACAGTTATTTCCGGGAAAGGAAAGTTCCTCTGTAAGTGCATAGATGTCGGGATGCAGTATCGCTTGTATAGGTTGTATCGCGTATCTGGGTGCTCTCTCGGTTGGGTCTAAAAAGTGCATATAAGATGGAATATTGACCGGAAACTGCATTGATTAGTACAGGCGGGATCACAATGCCGTCAATTTCCATAGGCCACATCGTGCTGCAGCTGTTTCGAAGAGCGTTTGCTTGGCGCTTAGGTGCCCACGAAACGCTTCTAATATATCAGTACTGCGGAGGAGCCGCACAGACGGGGGCGAATGAATAGCAGCATCTCAGAGCGAAATCATCATTGTCGTCAATAGTACAGCTAGTCCATATCCCATTCCCGGTGGTCGCAACATCGACATCGCGCCCGAGGTCGAGTTCTTCCCTCTATTTTCAATGTCCGGTACGCAGGGTGCACCTTAGCGTCCAAAGCACAAGGACGAGACGACGTTTCCAACGCAAACCGCCCATCCCGTGTGAAGGTGACAACAAGCATGATGGGATGGGCGAGGCGAGGAGAGGGAGGAGGGGTAGGGAACGGGAGGGGGGACAACTATATCATGATGATGGGTACTCACGCCAGCCCGTTCAGCTGGTTGACCGCGTCGAGGCCTTGCCCGAGGTTCACGAAGTCGAGGAGGACGAAGTTGGGGGCGCGGCCCGCAGCGAAGCCCTCGCAGCCGCCCGCATTAGCCAAGATCCTGCATCGTCATCGTCGAAGACCAAGTCAGCGATGCCCCATGTCCTCCACCAGAGACAAGGCAGACTGCACGTACGAGCTGACGCTGTTGGTCGTGGGCGCGTCCTTGGGGTCGGAGACGATGATGCCCGTGTCAAGTATGTTCTTGTTCAGCGAGTGGTTGATCATGTACATGTGGTCTTCCGTCGAGAGCGGGCCGTTGATGCGGTCGACGCTGCACGGGAACGTCGCGTCCGTGACCGAGAACGGCGTCTCCCACACCATCTCAAACTCCGGGAGGATGTACGGCACGGAGCGGTCCGTGTCCGCGCCCGCGTCGAGGAAGACGATGACGCGCTTGCCGCTGTCGATAAGGTCGCCGAGCGTCGGCCACTGAAGTGGGCACGTAGGAACTCAATATTTGGGCTTGTGCTATTCGGAGGAGTATACGTACGTCACTCTGCTTGACGGGGATGCTAGGAGGGACGTAGGCCAGGTCGGCGATGCCGGACGCCTGGAATGGTGGGTCCCAGAGGTCGGGGAGAGACGCACCCTCGGGGTTCGTGAACAGGAGGGTGAGGACCTCGTTAGGGTTCGCCGTCAGGAAGTCGTGAACCTTGTTGAGGTAATCCTCGACAGTTCCGCCATCGAACAGCAGCTGTGATATAGTATACGGTGAGCGGACAGGGCAACGACAGGCCAGATTCTAGACTTACGCAGCTCGTGTGACAGAAGTGAAGGACGCCGTCGTTGCTGCAACGGGAAGTTCAACAACAATGCTCCTGGAGCGCTGTAAGAGTACGAACACATGTGCTTGGGCTTGAAGCAGGCGAACGCCAAGGCCGAGCTGGGTAGGGATGTCAACCTGCTGGTCGGCAGCAACTAAATGCCAAAGCCGTGAGCTGACGAGCTTGAGAACAGAATGGCGACGTCCTTCCGTGTCTACACTTGTGCTAAGCAACGCTGGGAGGGACGCTGAATCATTACGTACATCCATCTTGTTTGAGCCGCTCAATTCTTGTGGACGCTGGACGAGGGCCGCTCAATTCTTGAGGACGCAGGACGCAGGACGCGTTAGAGGCCATTGATGGAGGTGATGGGCTAAGCGAGACTAGCCGACAAGCTCGCCTTCGGAACCCCTCGAGCGACGATAACACTCCTCCCCCCTCACAAAGTGCCTCAAGGGTAGTGTCAATCGACGCGGAAAGCTTTCGTCTTCAACATACTCGCGGTTCATATTTTTATGTGAGGTTTGGGACACGACAGACCTCTTGGAAAACAACGGGCACGAGAAATGAGGTTGGTACCTTGCCGTATGCGGCAGGTTCGGCTAGCGCATCACATCCATCAAACGAGCTCTGAGTGCGTCCTGCGTCCTGCGTCCTCAAGAATTGAGCGGCCCTACGCGTTCAGAGGTGATGGGCTAAGCGAGACCAGCCGACATGCTCGCCTTCGATCGAAAACCCACGAGCGAGGCTGACGCTCCTCTCCCCTCACAAAGTGCCTTGAGGGTAGTGTCAATCGACGTGGAAGCTTTCGTATTCAACACATTCGCGATTCAGATATTTCTGTGAGCCTTTGGAAAACAACGGGCACGCCGCACGAGGAATGAGGTCGGTACCTTGCCGTATGCGGAAGATTCGGCGATACCATCAGTCGCCATCAATGGCCTCTCAACGCGTCCAGGACCATCAGATTGCCTCTCGTCACCCGCCAACAGGTCCTCCGCCTGCGTCGATCTGCTGAGAAGCTGTGCATGCGCATCACAGCTCGACAAGTGAGACTCCTTGGCTTGTGCTGCTGTGCTGCAGACCAGGACGGTCATCAGGTGTCATGGCATCGAAAGCGTCAGCCCACATGCGTCGTTCCCTCAAATAGCCACCTTCGATGCTTCTCTTCCTGTCCCCAGCTGCCGGCTCAGCCATTATTAGACCCGTTCTTGTATTTACGCCCCCTTTCCTTACGCCCGTTCCCTCCGCCGTACGTTCACAACCCACGACATGCGAGCAGCGTCATTCCTCCTGAGCGTAGCGGCCGCTATCGCTTCGGTCAAGGGTGCCATAATCCCACAGAGAAGGTGCGTACCATGTTACGGTTCTCATGTCCACTTACCCGGAGCGCCGTCCCGGGCTCCATCAACGCCTCGTGTACCTGCACCTTGCGCGGTTGCTGACCTTCCTGCGGCAGAGCGGACGTTTGCAACGGTCATGCAGAACTTTGCAATCGAAGCTATGGCAACGTGACGTTCCTTGGAGGTGAGTAGCAACGTGCATTGCATTGGACTTGTCTTCGAGCAAAGCTGATATCACCATTCAGCACACGATTCGTTTGCGTTCAGCGACGATCCCCTGGCTCGTGAGTTGTTGCGAAGATGAACGTTGCAGCATGCACAGCCCCAGTCTGACATTCGTCTGACAGCGACTTTACCGCCGCGGGACTGCGGACAGAGCCCGCACATATGGGGAGGTCAGAGTGGACGATTCTGGCCGATTCTGACAACGATTCCAGGTCCGTTTCGAGTCCTGAAGCGCTTTCGGATTTACTCGGGAAGCGGGCGCTTCGAGCGATTCAAGGCAGAATCGTCGCTTTTGCCTTCGGAATCGCTGCTTTCGAATCCGATTCTGCTTCAGCTCGCGATTCTGCTCAACGCACCCATAACAGCATATGATACGTGGGTTCACCCTCAATAAGTCCATATACAGTACCTAAGCACCCAATAGGGGTGGTCAGAGTGCACGATTACGGGGCGATTCTGGGACGATTCTGGAGGACGATTCTGGAGGTGATTTTGTTCTCAGAATCGCGATTTTGGCAGAATCGCGCAGAATCGCAGAAGCTCCTCCGGAGGAGCTTCTGCCCTCCAGAATCGCGATTCTGCTGTCCGCGCTTCTGCCTCCCCCAAAATCCTCCCCAGAATCGCGACCATAATCGTTCCCAGAATCTTCCTTCGGTATGGGGTGGTCAGAGTAGGCCGCGATTTTGATACGATTCAGATATCAAGAATCGCCTCAGAATCGCTTGGAGAATCGCTTCAGAATCGCGCACTCTGACCTCCCCTAATATATGCAAGAAACTGTTTTCGCGGTCGGCCTGATCGCGCATCACATCTGTTGTAGCAAAGCCTCAAACTCGAACTGTTTTGCTCATACTATCCATCCAGCGAAACCTGTCTCCTCTACACGAGCCATGAAGAAACAGCAGAGCCGGAGTAAGCCCACGGTCGCGACGACCCACATCAACGGGCAAAATGGGTTCTGAGAAGGAATACTACATAATCAAACCGCCCGAAACTCGCTGCGCCCATCGAATGCCTCAACACCTGCGGAATTGCAGTCAGGATCGCGTGCGGAGTCGCTGTGCATGAAGGGGGTAGGTCAAGCCTGCCTCCGATTTTGGGACGCTTCCCCAGGCCGCTTCTGTCGAGAATCGAACTAGAATCAAGGCAGAATCGCAGGCAAAATCGCCCACTCTGACCTCCCCTATTGGGAGAGCACTCTGGTCTATGTGCTGGCAACATCGAGAGGCTTGAAGTGACTGAGCTGGGCAAATGTGATCAGCTCCGCTCAACTACACGAGACATCAAGCCGTCATCAACGATACGACACCGAAGAGACTCAAGCTGGACGCGAAGTGTATCTCTTGGCGAAGATAGTCGATGTCCGACCATGCGTCCATAACGGCATTGCCTGCCAATCACGATACTGTACACACAGTTACAGAGTAGGAAATCATAACGAGGCGTAAGATCGTGAACTAATACACTAGAAGAGAGCCGCATAGCATAATTGAAGTTAGATATGTGCGCATAAGTCACCGATGCCTGCGGAGTGTTCTCGAACAAAACCAGAAATCACTGAAGATACCCCGCAGACGCACTGGGAGGTATGCCAGCCAAACCTCAGCCTGCCGCGCACATCTATATGTCGCACGTCAGGCCGCTATAGGCTCACGAGCTCGACGCCCCTCAGTACTCCTCGTCCTCCTCCTTCACTGCGCCAGCGAAACCAGCCCACCGACGCCCTCCAAGCCCGACGTCCGCCGCCCAGTCTTCGTCCACGCTCGGCCTCGGCTTGAAGCTCTCCCTCCTCGCGCGCGACGCCTTCTTTGCGACGGCCGCCGCACTCGGCGCAGGGGCGCCATATCTCCCAGTGCCCGACGCATACATCGATGAGGAGGAAGTTGATGATGACATGTAGGACGCTGCGCGATGTCCCGGTTGGTACATCCCGTATGAATGGCTGGATCCGAGTTGCTGGGCGGACGGCACGCGCCCGTGCCCGAGCGCATGGTGCGCCGTGCCCGGCTTCGGTACGGGCATGGCGATAGAAACAGGACGGGGGAGAGACGAGCCTGCTGCTGTTGTTGGAGTCTTGCCTGGGAGGGGTATCTTGGTCGGGGATGCAGCGCGGTTGACACTGGGCCCGCGGCTGCTCCCCAACGGGGCGCGGTTGGTGTGCGTAGCTGTGGCTTCGCCAAGACGCGGCCGCTTATTCGGCGCGGAATGCGAACTTCCCAGTGTGGACGCAGGGCGGATCGCTGGGGTGACCACTCCGGACTTTCCGTGACCCGAAGTCGGGGGCGCAAGGTGATTCGAGCCATTAGCGGGGGTCGTGGCGCGTGGAGGGACGGAGCCTGCGCGACCTTTGGTGCGCTTGTTCGCATTCTCCTTGTCTGACACGCTCACCGTGTCCATCAGGAACTGAAGCATGCTCATCCCGTGGACGAGGAATGCACGGCCTGTCTCCGCTTCCCATGCTGGCAGCGACATTAGGAGATCCTGCTCCAACTAGAATAGCCATCAGCGTTATAGCGAACACAGAGCGTTCGAGAAGTTGCTTACCCGAGGTTTCTCTTTGGTGACTCGTTTGCGCATCTTCTCCTCGCGAAGGAGTCGCCCCGGATCCCGAGGTCCTCTACCAAGTAACCGGCTTTGATCGCTGGCGGACGCTGCAAGCTCCTTCTCGTCGTCGCAGATGTCGAAGTACTTCTTGATGCTGTGGAGCAAAGGACCCTTCATCCGGCGTTCCTCCTTTAGCCGCTTGATCTCTTCCTCGTGAATGGATAGAAGCTCCTCCGTATGCTCATCTATCGGGGTGATGCTTAGCGTCTGATCACAACTACAGATTAGCACTACACCAAACCCACCGTCGAAGAAAGGTGCGAAGTCGGCCCGCTCTTCTTCGCCGACCATAAGCTCATCCCACAACTTCGTGATCTCAGTGCGCGCATTCTCGATGAACGTGCCCATGCGTTCGCGCTTCAGCTCCAGCATACGCTCGAGTTCTTCCTCGTACGCTTTGATAGTCACGTCGGTGCTCCCACGCTGGGCCTCTACGAACGCGTCCATTTCCGCGTCGGTAACGCCTAGCCTACGCCACAGCGCCTCGAGCTGGTCGTACATCGCTTGTATGTGCGCCTCGCGCCGCTTCTTCGTCTCCTCGAGGTCCGCGCGGGTGGCCTCGGCCCATGCCATTAGCGCCGGGGTCGGCTCGACGCCCTCCAGGCCGACGGCAACATTGGAGTCTGGGAGATCCTCGTCAGAAAGCTCTTCCATCCGGGCAACGAACTTCGCGAAGACGCGCTGGTGGTCGACCTGAGTGGTCTGTGGCGTATCGTCAGACAAGAACAAGAGTGGGGTTAGGGGCTTGAGACGCGACGCGGGCGTTGGCGTTGACATAGGGATGGACATAGAGGTGGAGAGGAATGGGTCTGGGCCTGTTGTTCGACTGCCGCATGATGAACCGGGGCGAGGGAGAGGAGGGAGGCCAAGGGTAGACGAGGAGGCGGTAGGAAGGTCGTCTAAGGAAGGAGGTGTGATACCCAGTTCTGTGTACAACCAGTCTATCTGGACGAAATGCGCTGAGAGCTGAGTGAGACGCTTGGCCTAGCAAGGAGTTAGGCATCGGCCAGGCAATCATTCAAAGACCACGCTCACAACTTCACCCTTCCCGCGAACCAACTCCTTCTCTAACTTGGAGAAGCGCTCTGGCGTGACGTCTCGATGCGATGTTGAGTCGTATTCATTTTCGCCAATGGCAGGGGCAGGTTCAAGGATGTCAGCCGCATAAAAATCTTGGCCAAGGGTGTTGGCTAGCGCGGATATCCTGCTTGTGAGGTTCAGGAGCTGCTCCAACTTCGTATGATATTGCTATAAGACACGTGTTAGCACTCTGCAAAGGAATGGATGGGGAGCCGGAGAAGAAAGTGATCGCTGCCCCCTTAACCACCGGGAAGCGGCAGGGTGATATGCAACTTAAAGTGCAGACTCGGTGCTGGTGTATAGCAGGGGCTAAAATGGCGCTCCATAGAAGTAAGTACTGACCTGTCGCAGTTTCTCGTGGTAATCTGAAACAAGCTCGAAGCGGCGGGGGAGAACCTGTTCCTTCCTGATCTCCCCCACACTCGGTCCTGACGACTTGAGGTGACCGCCCAGAGCCTTTCCATATCGTATGCACTGATCCTCCACTGCACCACACTTCTCCATCCACTCGTCGACCTGCTTTCGTCGTAGCTCAATCTGGCCTTCGATGCATTGGGTGAGCTGTTGTTGCAGCGCGGATAGTTCGTCGTGGAGAGCAGTCGGAGGCAAGCCTAGCTGAGCATGGAGCGTAGGCAGGAGCTGTGTTTGTGACTGCAAATGTGTATGCAGAGAGTTTAAGAGAGACGTTATCGTCGTAGACATGGTGGCATCCGCCGTCGTCGTGGAGGTGGTCGAAGCCGAGGTCTGTGTTCAACTTTGCGCGCCAAACGCGAACCGCGTTTCTATCATGTGACGGCGTTGCGCTCTTCTCGGCGGATGTCGCGCCTCTCGGGGTACATTAGACGCCTATCTCTTGTCGCCGTACTACCGCGACGCGCCTGCCGCTTGCCTTCTCCTCGATTACACCTCGCTGAATACTAGCATACATGTCACGGAATTCATGGCGAGTACCACAGCAATTTTTCTCGGTGATCAGTGTTCCTCCCTGAACCGTTATCGCAGTCTCTACAGTCCAAGACCAGATGATACCATTACCACAACTTGCGGAAACGGGCAGAACTCAAGCTTTCGTGCCACACATGTCTCAGCGTGGTTGTGTACAAGTTATTCTTACTACGCTATCTTGGTCGCCCGATAGTACACGGACCATCATCTCGGCTCCTTTACCGATGCTTCCACACCTGCATTTAGCATGGTGTGTCGTGCGCCCCTCTCGTGTGCCTAGTCCCGTCTCGGATTCTCACGATATTTGAATCAGAAAGACAGGATTGAAGATCGAAGTGAGTGGTACATGTACATTCTAGCTTACTCCTTGTGGCTGATCTCGGTGGCAGCGCTCCGAACTGTACCTCGCCCTCGGCTACACAACGCTCTCGTATCTATTCTGTGTCTGCACGGCGAGCGGACTAGACAGATGCCCCAGGTTAGGGGTCAGAACTGTCGTTAAAGCTCTCGGAACCCACATCCAGAACTAGTCGCCTTCTCCGTCTCCGCGGGATGTGTCAGAACGTCCGTAATTCCGCTACACCAAAGAAAACGTATCAGGCTATCTCGTTCTCGTGTGGTATTGCGTCTTGTCACGCCTCATTTGTGTACTTCTTCCTTATTCTGGGAGTGACGGCAGATGCCCCACCGAGTCGGGCCTTGCATGATCATGCAATGGGCGGCCAAGAGACTACCCCTCCGAGCTGCACCAGACGCAAGAGTCTGTCAATCACACATGTGCTGTGCGTTCGTCACGAGAACACTTCCGCCACAATCAGCATGTCCTCGTTCTACACTCTAGCTTGGTGTGCTGGAAATGCCTACAGGTTCGGCCATGGCGATTCGGCATACAGTGAGTATCTTGATTAACCAACATCGCATAACGACGGCTGACCTATGCCCTGTTCCACTGTTCCGTCAATAGTCTGTCCTGACATGCGACAAGCATTGTGCCTCACGTTTCAGATCATCTGGCCGGTGCGTGTGTACAACACACAACGAGTGTAACACAGCTGTCTCTACTGCGCTCACATGGCTAGCGTCAATCGCGAGGCGCGTAGTCCCGGATGCTGAGTGTCCGAGGCTGACGTTGCAGTGCCGTCGACACCGTCGAAAAGATATATGTGCTAGGACTTTCTCATGAGTCGCTCTCCCTTGCCATACACCCGCTCAGGCTGCTGTAGCTGGTTGTAAGACGTGTCTTCGAATCCTTTCGCCCGAACGTACGAAACACCAGCGTTTCGGATCCACCTAAACCGTATCACTAGCTTCAAGAGTACACTGATCCCATAATGACCCAGCGTCCATATACGCATCCTAGTATGGCCCACCGTCCGGTAAGTGACATTGTGTTTCTCGCCCGCCCACTTGTTCATCCTTTTGCAGCCTTCGACGGCGCTCGGCATGACCGAAGGAGAAGTAATAGACACCAGAGTACGCCTCGCAACGCCGACGGCTGAAAGCACGCTGTCAGATCACCTCGCGACGCCTACCTACGAGATCACAGTGCCGGACCGCCCTACGACCCCTACGGACGAAGGCACTGTACCAGAGAATCCAGATGCTCCAGATTTTGACCCAGTGTCCATCCAGTCGAGCACGCACATCGATTCAAGGGAAGGGAGACTAGAACGTACCGTCGCTGTGGAGCGTCCGGAGAAGCGGCAGTCTATGCCGGTCGGCCAGACCACCTCGGCCGAACAACAAGTCAAGCCAATGTCGAACAAGGAAATTCAACTGGTATTTCTTGCGTACGTCCCCGAACTCTAGTCTTATCTCGAAAGCCCTCTCATCCCCGGCAAGCCTCTCCGTTGCGGCGTTCTTGGGTTCGCTGGACCAAACCATCATCTCAACTGCTATGCCTACGATTGCGTCTCAATTCGATGCCTTGCCCCAGGAGAGCTGTACGTACAGACTCCATGCGGAGTAGGCTGCTGCTGACTCGTCTCAGGGATCTCATTGGCATATCTCCTGACGTCCACCGTCTTCCAACCTATCTTCGGTCGCGGGACTGACTTGTATGGCTCGAGGCTCATGCTCCTCATCTCTATCGCGGTCTTCGACATCGGATCCCTCCTTTGCGCAGTAGCGACCAATTTCATCTTTCTCTGTTGCGGGAGAGCCATTGCCGGTGCGTTTGCCACGAGGCTCAAAATCAGGTCATGCCGCTTCCTAAACAAGTTTACGCAGGTATTGGAGCAGCAGGATTGCTTGTACGTTGTCTTGCTCTGTATACTACGCGGTAGCTGACAGGTAAGGCAGGTCGTTTGCATGATTATCATCAGTCAAATGGTGCCCCTGCGCGATCGAGGCAAATTCGTCGGTGCTATGTATGCACGTACCGCTATCGCAACTGTGCTAGGGCCGGTGAGTACCCTCGGCACCTTCTTTGACTGGTGAAGGTAAGTTTGACAATTGTGATGACGGCAGGTTCTCGGGGGAATCCTCACTCGCATAAACTGGAGATGGTGTTTCTGGATTAACCTGATTCTTTCGGGTCCAGCTATCCTTGTTCTTCTGATGTTCGTGAAGAATATCCCGAACAGGAAACGCCCAGGGGCCTCTTTCAGGGACGTCGATTTCGGCGGCATCATTCTCGTTGCACTATGCATCGTCGCCTTGTGTCTGGCTTTGTCTTGGGGCGGTACAACATTTGACTGGCACAGTCCCGTCATCATCTCCTTGCTCGTGGTAGGCACGGTTCTCCTTCCGATATTCATTCTATACGAACTGCACTTCCCACGGTTCCCGGTCATTCCCCTTGAAATGTTCAGAATCCGCAACGTGGCTGCGTCGACTGGCAACTACTTCTTCTCTTCGGTGTATGTGCCGTCATCGATCTTGAGATGCTGTCCTATTGACGCGAGATTCTTTGTCAGATCAATGTACGGCCTTTCTGCGTATATCCCATCGTATTATCAGCTCGTGCGCGGCGACAACCAGCTTGTCTCCGGACTCGAAATATTGCCATAGTGAGCGACGTGATACGGTCTATCGCCGAGACGTACCGGGCTCATCGTCTCCAAAGTGTCGGAACTATCGTCATATTCTCGACTTTGGTTGGATATCTCATGTCCTGGACAGGCCGGACCCGTCCGTGGATGTGGGCAGGACCCATCAACACTCTCGCGAACGGCCTCATGATCATGTTGAACGGCACACAGCCACGTGCTGTCGAATACGTCTTCCTGGCACTGAGTGGTGCAGGTGTGGGTCTCATCGCACAGACCAACACCGTGTCCGCGCAGAGCAAGGTCGCGTGGGAGCTACTCGCGAGCGTGACGACGATGACAATGTGGAGCAAATCGCTAGGAGGAATTGTCGGCATCGCGATGCAGGGTTCCATCATCAATAACGTCTTCCAGAAGACGATGGCATCCAACTCTGGGGCAGCACCGGTCAGTTACTCGCGTTCTTTTGACAGAGTGCTCGGGAGCTTACTACACTCGGCTTGCAGTATATGGACCAGTTGAAGGCGCTGAGTGGGCTCCATTCGCTGCCTCCAGCTATCGCAGCCGACGCATCGCGGGCATACGGCAAGGCGTTCGGCACTATGATGATCGCGACGACGCCCTTTGTTGCCGTTGGACTTTTGTTCTCCCTCACCGCGGAGCCAGCCGATCTGGGACGTAAGTCGGGCAAGAAGAAACGTCAGGAGGACTTGGAGGCCCCAAAGACAGCGCATGGCGAAGCCTAGAAGGATGTCAGCGGCCTCCTTGCCTTAGCGGAGAGGGCCGCTGACATGAATGTGAAGGTCTGAGATAGCTACTCACATGTACTGTAAAGGATTCGATCTGATCCAACCGTTATCGCAAGCAGACCACGTAATTTACCAGGACAGCATGTTCGCATACCGTTCCTGTCCATGTGAACCTGTGGCCCTAGGCTGTATGCAAATCCGTGTGAAAGGTATCGGTTCCGCGCACAGCAGCTTCGTTGCTTTTCTGGTGCATTTGGGCGGTTCAGGTAGACAGATCGGATGGAGCCTCAGACAAAAAGACGGTGAATACGGGCCTACAGGGTAGGGCGTAATTTCGATCGACCAGCACCCTCTCGTTGAAGAGCACATATATCGCGACCAATGAACATGAGCAAAAAAACCATTGGAATGCTTGTCGCCTAGCTTGATCACAACGGTACATTACGATGCACTACGCCGCTAGCCGAGGACAGCGTTGCATGAAGTGGATGAAGAATTGCTGGATCTTCGTCGGTGACGCTGCGGTTCTCCGATCGCTTCTATGCAACAGATGCGCCCTCTTCTTGCGATGCACGGACGGTAGTATGTGTCTCGCCGTAGTGGGTGTGTTGCTCTAACCACGTGAAGTAGCTCAGTACACAAGGTCGGATGTCCGCGGCTTCTAGAGCGTCGGTGAAGCGGTACCTGCGGAGAGAAGGGCGGTGTTTGTCTTCACATACAGCTTAGGTATTTGAGCAGTTTGAAGCAACGCTAAATCTCTCATATCTGCAGTAGTAATTGTAATGAGTAACCTGCCAACCTCAAAGACACAAGAGACTGCCAGTGGGGCGCTTTCGGCCCGCCCCTAATCTTCCACGCCCTCCGGGCGCACTTGGCAACCACCACGGTGTTTACTAGGGTACAATGTCCTTGTATAGTATACAATCAGGCACTCACATCCTGAAATGACTCGTGGTCGGAACTACCCGGAGGGCCCTGCCCTATGATGTCAATTCGGTTGTGTGCACTGAAGGTAGCTAGTATGATGCTCTCCGCCTTCGTCTACATGACAAGCGCTTAGCGCGTACACATGGCAATCTAAGGAAGTCTACGAATGCCCGTGCTGGTCAAGTACTGCAGTATGCTTACTGCTGAAATGCTAGGAATATTGGAATGTCGCTCATGAGGCGTCTCATGTAACTCCGCTGGCGTTACTGCCTGATCGGCGCTCGGAATCTCACTCGGAATCTTGCAGAAGTGCCGCCACGATGTCGGCATCTTTCAACATCGACCACCTCATGTCACGGAACGGCCACGGGCGGCGTCTTATACGTATCTGCCGGGGAAACTCTGAGGACGGTCTGATACGTCTCATGTTCTCGGGGAGTAAAACTCAGTGAGTCAAAACATCTATGGTGGTCTGACTGTACCGCAACGCTGAACATCATCATAGAATACCGTGCTACATCCCATGCCGCCCGACCCACCGGGATTGGGACGTCGAGATGGGATGGCATCAGCGGAGCCAGCACAGCTCGATATACGACGTTTCTGGGACTCTATCGTGCACGGCTTACTAGTCGTTTTGAACGTCCAGCGTCGGACCGACAATACGAATCATCCATGTCGTCATGATCTGAGATGGTCCAACGGCCAGTCGACCAGTTAAGGAGGTGTCGGACTGTCCAAAAATTCGTCAGCCATCGTTCGCCTCCGGGAGTCACAGCGTCTACGGGGCTCAGAAGCACTTATAACCGTCCGCCTCAAGAGACGAGAGGCCACCCCTCTCATCAGGACAGCCTCGGAACACCGTAACCATTCAACATGGCCACCCAGTTCGCTCCTCTTACGCCCGCCAAACTTAGGGATGAGCTGTTGACACATCCCCTCATGCTCTCCATTGGAAGCCTTGGCTTGTCGACGTTCATGTCGCGCTCAATCTTTGGCGTAATAGATTGGAGACCGGTACGTGTTTTTCGAAGAGACCAGCCGTTGAAGTTCGCCGTGAGCCCTTATCCGTCCATTGACGACGGCCCACAGGTGCTCATTTGCGTCGCTTCTGACATCCTCGCCATAGGCATGGACCACTACTTCGACCAAGCCCCTATGTTGTCCTATGCGTTTAAGACCAGCAACAGCGAGATGATGGCGATCTTTCGACAATCCAAGATGCTCCTCTACTCCAATGCCGCTCTGCTACTCTTAGCGCTTTCCCTCTCTCCACCTTTGACATGGGCCATGGTCACTGTCTTCTTCGGTCCCGCTTTTGTATGGGATTTCAAGCTGTTTGTCTTTGGCGGCACCCAGAAGAAAACTGTAGAGAAAAAAGCTCCGAAGAACGCCTTCACCATCAAGCGGATACCTGGCATGAAGGCTATCCTCATCGGCGTGATTAGAGGGTATGTCTGTTCGCACCGCATCAGGTCGCACCACTCACCGTAGGGCAACGTGCCATAGGTGCGGTACATTTGCCATCGTCAACTCAATACTTGCGCGCTCCTTTTCCGCCGCCCCGGCGGGCCCGAGCATCTGGAACCCCACTCAGATCATCGTATGGTCTACAATCAACCGTGCTTGCCATGCCGTAAGTCGTTGTCGAGGCAAATCTTCTACTACTCCGACCTGATGGAGGGCGCCCTTTGTAGGTGATGGCAGACGTCCGCGACTTCGACGAGGATTGGGAGAAGCAAGTACCTACTATTCCCGTGCTTTTGAAGAGCGTCCTTCGCACGAAGTTCTTGCTCACTGCAATCCATCTGTTCACCACTCTTCTTTACTCGTACAACCCCTACATCGTCTTCGCTTCCCTCTACGCAACGGTGCTGGTTTGGGCCCTCGACGAGAAGAGTCCGCGGGGGTTATACCGACTCAGCTTCCACTCCCAGACTCTGACCGCCGCCTTGTACGGCGCCGTAGAGATGATCAAATGGTACACTTCTTATCAGGCGATGTAGAGTATTACTCAACGGCGAAATACCATACGTAGTCACTTGAAGCGATTAAGGCCTGATATTTGGCAAGGCACGCTACTCACTGTAGAAGTGTCGTCGCATGTGTATTTCGTGCTATTTACTCAACGAGAGCAATTCAATTGCGTAAGGAGTTCGTTGTACAATCGTCCTCAATCTAAATGACTGACTCATCGCAGCGTTGGAAATGATGTGCGCATACGTATCTTGATCGTGACATGCGTGAACGATGCATATGTCGAAGCTGCCAAGTACTTCAATGCAACGAGCGCTCTTTCTCCCTAATACCTTATTATAGGTGTGTAACCGCCGCCAGTTGCTCGGATCTTTACGCATAATATGTTTGTATCTCTAACTTACACCCGATACCACGGCGCAAAACATGCTGTGCAAGGCGCTACGCCCAATCATGGCAACCACAGCAAGCTGCGTTGAGGACGCAAGACAGGCTGGACGATGCCCTTTAACTCAACATATGTGAGAGCGTCACGCCAGGCCCGAGTGGGCAATACAGTATCTCAATTGAAAACACAGGATTGGAGAATGAACTCCCAGGATGGCATAGCTACAGCTACCGTGAGTAGTAGCTATGCTGGTCTAGATGAGGATAAATACTACCTCGTAGTCTGGAGTGTTTTAGCCGTGAATTTATTGCTTGAAGTCCTATCAGCGTACATCCATGGTAGACATCTGTGGTAGGAAGTGGAGACGCATGGTGGTGAATACGGATGTATCCTCCAGACACGACCACTGGAGAGTGACAACTGACGCATATGCCCAGACAACGGAACGAGAGTCCTTGACAGACAACTTCACACAGCTAGTGTCATGTATGCTGAAGTATATACTGGTGAGCTTGTTAGAACAGATGCTGGTGTTGTAAAGATTCCCGACAACCCTTAAAGCTGTCATGCGCACAAACTTCAATCAGGTTACGAGTTTGCGGTCAAGCGTCTGTATTTTTTGACTCCCTTGGAAGCCTGAAGTTCATAAACGAACCGTAGGCCCTGCAAGAGAGTGTAAGAGCCCCCACGACTTAAAACCACCCGATAACATGGAGGTAGACGCCCGCACATGAGAGCCACGTGGGTTTGCTTGGTGTCATTTGTGCTGTGGCACAGCCAAACCGGAATCGGGACGCTACACAACGCCATCGACACACTCCCCGCCGCCCCAAATTCAAGGTGAGTACGTGTTTTTGTGGTTTTGAGGGTCGGAGAACAGTACGACTGCACTGAGGGAAGATCCTGGAGCATGTCAATGTGGATATTATGTCGATTTCGTTGTCTCCGAAGGGTGGATGGCACGATGAAATAGTGGATGGCGGATGGCCCAACGGATCGCGCTAGTTGAGACCTCTTGCTGACTTCGCTCCTTTCTCGATCTCCTTCGGCACAGATGGTGCGTTTAGTTCTTCCTCGCTTGCCGCGATCATTATTGACGTTGGTCTGCTGAGCGTAGAAGGTCGAAATCGACTCGTTCTCCGGCTATCGTATCTACCCCAGTAAGGGTCGTCTGTTCGTGCGGGGAGACAACAAGGTCCGCACAATCTGAATCACTTTTCCCATCCTCATACCTTATGCTGCTCTCCAGATCTTCCGTTTCGCCACCTCCAAGAATGAGTCGCTCTTCCTTCAGCGCAAGAACCCCCGTAAGATCGCTTGGACTCAGGTGTACCGTCGCATGCACAAGAAGGGTATTACGGAGGAGGTTGCCAAGAAGCGTTCCCGGCGTACCGTGAAGCACCAGCGTGGCATCGTCGGTGCAGACCTCGCTGCCATTGCGGCGCGGAGGAACCAGACTGCCGCTATCCGTGCGCAACAGCGGACTGCTGCCATCCAGAAGGCTAAGGCGGAGAAGAAGGCTAAGGAGGAGAAGAAGGAGAAGACCAAGGTACGTCGTTACATTCATTCTACTCAACCCCGGCTGACCGTCCGCTGTGTTACAGCCCGCCCACAAGCCCGTATCAACCGCTCCCCGCGTATCGAAGCAGCAGATGAAGGGTGGCAAGGGTGGCCGCTAAGATTGTATCTGCGTTGGTTCCTTGTTCTCTATGACACATGCTTTCGACTTGTCGCCGTGCACGAAAATGTATGGGTCTAGCATGCCTTTACCACGATGTTATGTTATTGCATCCCGGTATCCTCGTCCTTGTACCACCCACGCACTGCTTGAACTCGTATCGAGACCGTGCACCTGGATCGGAGGAATGTATTTTTTTCACATCCAGCAGTTCTCTTCAAGCACAACCGCAAGGCATCCAGTGGTCCGTCAACAAGATAAATGATGGGAGGATGACGGTATCGACCCACCGTGTTCCGGTAAGCTCACTCAACAGTATAAATAATACAGACCGCGGGATAGCCTCGGACCACCTCCATAGCTTCTGTTGCTTCCTGCCACAGTGCTGCCGGATATCGAAGTGATTTTTGCGATCTTCTGGATTGCGTTGCCGGAAGATGACACCACGACTGGCGTGCTCTGGAGAGCCGGGTACGGCATCTTCACCAGACATGTGATGACGAGGTAGCTGATCGTAGAAGACTGCAGATTGTCTGCAACGAACGTACGTCGTTCCGTCGGCGCGGATGAGCTTCGGATAGACCACTGGCGCGGTACCGTGACCTGAGCACGGCGTTTATTTGCTATTCAGCCGTACTGATCTTCCGCTATGCGCAGCCCTACCACGAGGATTGACGAGATAGGAATTTTGTCTGCGCCATGCGCGGCCAAGCGTGCAAGTATATAAAGCAGGGTCCCGTCGGGGGCCCCTTTCCTCCCAGGCGCACCCGATACGCTCGTGTTCGCCACCATGGTCAACTTCACCATCCTTGCAGGGGGTTACACCTCTTTTGTCGTGTCCTACTTGTTCAACTCGGACACGAACTCGCTGTCGGTGCTCAACCAGTCTCCTACCGGGGCAAACCCATCCTGGATCGCGCTTCACCCCACGAACAAAAGCATTCTCTAGTACGAGCTATCTCCGTGCTTGTCATAACTTCGTATCCCAATCATGATTCTAACACGCGACTCATGCAGCGCGGTCAATGAAAATCCGCAAGGAGCCCTTCAGACCTTCACGATAGGCGAAAACGGCGCCCTCACTGGCCCCATCGACACGGTCAGCTCGCAGGGAGACAGCCCCGCGTTCACTACCCCGCTCTCGACTGGGCAGGTCGCGATCATGAATGTGTGTTGCATCGAGGCTTGGTTGCTTTCTTCGAGAGTGGCTGAATATCCGGCGGCCTAGTACAACTCCGGCAACGGACTTATCGTGCCGACTGAGACTACCGATCCTCTGGAGTTTGTGTCCTCCTACTCGCTCATCCAGTTCGATGCCCCCGTGTCCCACCCTCACATGGCGCTCGAGCATGGAGAAGAGGTTTTTGTCCCCGATCTTGTGAGGATCTTGTCGACGTGTGACCGGGGCCACGCAATACTGATATGCATGCAGGGCGCAGACAAGGTTTGGCGCCTAGTGGAAGACGGGGCCCCCGGAGTGTTCAAGGTGCAGGGTCAAATAGACCAGCCAACTGGAAGTGGACCACGCCACATTGCGACTCGAGGTACGCTCCGAGAGCAAATTGACTGAACGACAATCATTGACCTCATTCGTCTTACAGGGACGACGCTTTACACCCTCCACGAGCTCGCTAGCACCTTGACGCAGCAACACATTCCTCCTGCTCCGAATGGCACCACCGGGCCTCTCATTGCGAACTTCAACATCACTCCCCCGGGCCTTCCTGAGGGTGCCGCCATGGCCGCGGCGGAGATTCTCCTCACCGAGGCTTCCCCGAGCTTCCCCGAGCCGTTCATCTACGTGTCGAACCGCAACACGGGCATGCAGGACCCGCGCGGTGACGCCATCACGATCTTCCGCGTCGAACCCAAGCTCGAGCTGCTCGGATACGTCTTCACGGGCCTCGACCAGATCCGCGGGATGCAGCTCGGAGGTCCCGAGAAGGAGTTCCTCATCGCAAGCGGTGTCGCGGGGGACGCGGGCACGATCATGCTGAAGAGGACGGAGGGCGGGAGGAACCTGACGCTTCTGACGAGAAACACCGACATCCCGACGAGGACGAGCTTCGTGTGGCTGAATTAAGCCGGCGTGGCGCTTTGTGAATGTGATGCGCCCCGTACAATCCGCCTATCCTGTTGTAGTAGCGTGCTGTGGGTCAGTGCGCGACCTAGCGTTTGTTGCGCGACCTAGCGTTTGTTGCGCGACCTAGCGTTTGTTGCGCGACTTTTGAGGGTTAGCGTGATGTCTAGCGGAGGTCTTCTATGCACGCTATACTCGGGCAGGACGGAAAACGATGGTATTGGGCGCGCGCTACGGAAGCTGCGTGGGACCACCGAGTCCGTGTCGCCACCGCTCTCTCGCGCGACCGGTGGGCCGAGCTCAAGCCAGGAAGGAGAGTGAAGCGGAGAGCCGGAGGCTCGGGAGGCTGAGCGTGAGGATCGGCCCAAAGGGAAGTGATTGCACCCAAACGGGGGCCGGCACCGGGGCCCGGGCCCAAGGAGGAGTGATGGCGAGCGGATTCATCGAGGGAGGGCGGGCCGGCCCGAGGAGAAGGGATGGAGTGAGCATGATGCGGCCGGGCGGGGGGCCGGGTTGGGGAGGAAGCAGTGAGCGGATCACCGCGTAAGAGGCCCCGGAGGGCAGGCGGAACGACGAGAGGGCGCAGCGAGCTGCCCGGAGGAGTGGCGAGTGGCGAGGGCACGGATGCCCGGAGGGGTGCGAGCGGATCGCCGAAG